AAAAAACACGAATGTGAGTTTAAAATAAACGTTAGAAACCGAAAGTTTCACACCGGCAAAATTCGGGGCAGCCCTGTCACGCTTCAGACATGGCGACGCAGATGGCGGTAAATTCAGGTATTAACGTATATATTCTATATTATAAACATACTTCATATTTTTACAGTATAGAGTACTGACTAATGCACTAGCCATTTAAACTAATGTAATTCAATAGAATAGTGCAAATACTTGTTCAGTTCTCCACGTTACCTTCATTAGTAAATATGCTTACAGTGTGTAGCTACATGCGTCATATTACATTCATTATTATCTATCCACAATATTACTATTATTAAAATTATTATTATAGGAAATGTTACGGTAAGACCATAATCTCTGTGTGACCAGACAAAGCAGTTTATTTGAAACCTTTAATGTCTCTTAAAACTAACTTATGAAGACGGTCTTTACTTGTAAGTAAGGTTAATAAATGGTCTCAGTTAAGTCTAAAAATGAGTAAGAATTAGGATTGAGGTGGTTTTATTAAAAATACGAGTCTCTTTTTGCGGTATGGCATATGTGTTGTTATATTAATTTTCACTCTCAGTCATCAGTGGACTTTTCCATTGTAATTAATGGTTGCCAGTGAATGTTGATATCCATGCTTCATATGTGTCTTTTGACAGCCTCCTATGTTAATGATCATGCAATAATAATCAATCTTTACTTTTAAGTCAAATCAACTCATCAAAGTTGCACTAAAGAATTTTTTTTGACCAGTTGTTTATTATAAATTGAACAGGAATTACCAATTCAGCTAATACACTGTTTTCTTTCAAACGGCCCACCACACCACTTTCCCAATTGATAATGTTTATACAGAAAGAATTGATTTTGTAAATTCTATGTGACATACTGTGAATCTGTTTGCAGGAGCCAGTCTGTGGGGCCCACTGAAGGAGCTCTGGGAAGCCGTGGAGGGGGCCATATGGAGACGACAGCCAGAGAGTGTTCATCTTTTAGATCTGCAGTTGAAGAAACACAAACCCTCCTTCCTCACCCTCTTCAAAAACCCAGTGGGTTTTACTTTCTATAGATTCAAAACATTGCATGTGGAAAATTGTAATTGTACTGTAATTAAGTTTGGTGAATTACAGGTGCATCTCAATAAATTAGAATGTCGTGGAAAAGTTCATTTATTTCAGTAATTCAACTCAAATTGTGAAACTTGTGTATTAAATAAATTTAATGCACACAGACTGAAGTAGTTTAAGTCTTTGGTTCTTTTAATTGTGATGATTCTGGCTCACATTTAACAAAAACCACATTCTAATTTATTGAGATGCACCTGTACTTGTAAAATGCTTCAGAGCTTCAAAATGCATTCTTTGTTGTAAAATACAGTATATATATTTTTTTTTTGCAAAACAGATGAAGAGTGCAGAACAGAGAGAGAAGGTTCGGAAAGCCAGCACAGAAGGCATTGCTATTCAGGGCCAGCAGGGAGTGCGACTACTTCCTGAGCAGCTTATCTCAGAAGCCTTCATCCTTAGTGACCTTTTTGACCTGGGAGAACTAGCTGCCCTTGAACTGCTGTTGGCAGGTACACACACTGAACATACACATTCAGTACTGCTGGAATACACATTGCTCATATTGTATCATTGCAGTGAAATTGCTATGCAATAATGTGATCTTCATGTGTATTTTTAGGAGAGCACCAGCAGCCTCATTTCCCCGGCCTGACTCGAGGCCTGGTAGCTGTGCTCCTTTACTGGGATGGCAAACGCTGTGTGGCCAACTCCCTTGGCTCGCTCATCCAGTCCAGACACGGGAAGACTTTCACACTTGACTTGAGGTTTGTTGCTTTCCCTTCATGCAACAAGATCTAGCTCATTCTCCCATGCTTCTCCCATACTTCCTTTTCAGGAAACACTTTATCCAAGAGGTTGACAGGTTATTGATTGCACACTTCAACAACTTTCAGGATATTGGAAATTTAGGATTTTTTAACTGCAAGCTATTGCAGACCACATGAAATCGAAATCCTCTGTAGTCCCATTTAGCCACTTGTTACTGTGCGTTCACACCGCCGCCGTCGAGAGCATCAAAAATCGCTCTGGCCGCCCTGCCAACAACGCTGTAGAAAGATTCGTGGACGCTCTGACGTAGATCGAATGCTTATCTTGTATTTAAAGGGGACGCAAAGCAAACAAGCTTGTTGATCTTGTGCAGACTGACCACAAGGAGGGTAACGTTATAAGTTAACCTCATTAAATATTGTTGTGGACGAAGTATTAAGATCCTTTACCTCATAATGTATAAAGCACTAATACCACACTGTAAAAATACTCTGATACAAGTAAAAGTCCTGCATTGAAAATGTTACTTAAGTATAAGCAGGTATAAACATTACTTAATGTAAGTATAATCAGGAAATTTGATTTAAAGGTTTAAAAGTGAACTGGGACTATTATACTATTATTTATTATGTCATTAGATTATTATTACTATAATGTTAATGCACATCAGCAACTCACCAGGAACACCAACAATCTCAGACAACTTGGTCCACGCATCATTTTTTTTAAAATTTATGTCCCAGTATGCAAACAGGGACACGTCATAGATTATTGGGAAACCCGCCACAGCAATAATCAACCTCTCCTCCATTTTGCTTGGGAACTAATGTGGTCGGAACCAAAGTTTACATGACTGCGTTCTCTGGAATCCTCTCAAGCGGTGGACTTCTACGTTCCGATTGGTTGCCGCCAGATGCCGCCGAACCGCGTCATAGCTCATTACCATAAAGTTGACCTGATTTCAACTCACCTCGACGCCCTCAACGTCCAAGTCGCGCCACGCCGCTGCTCGACGCTGGCTCACATTGAAAATGAATGACTTCCGGCCACTTTGACGCTCTTGACGGCGGCAGTGTGAACGCACAGTTAGCAACCATCATTTTCAAGACATGTAAAAGGTTAAAATGTCATAGAATAACACGTGAAAATATTTATTGTGTTAACCACAGACCTTCTTTCAGGCTTTTAACCAAAAGCCATTTAAAAAAACCCATTGACTTATGCGTGGTGGAACTTGTTTCTGGGTTTTAGGACTCATTTCTGTACTGTATACATACACATGTGAACTTAAAAAAAGGACAAGTCCTGTGATATGTCCTTTACCAGCATGCTCTTTCAATAGATTTTAAGTCAAAAGAGGAAAGAAGTTAGAATTTTTCTAACAATTTCATATACTGAATGCCAATTCTGTCAGGTAGCTTGTAGCACTGCACAGTGTTCATTACAAAAAGCAAAAACAGCAACAACAACAACAACAACAACAAAAAACAACTACATTCATTTGTGTTTTTTATCTTACGTTTGTTGATTTTTAATGTAATTCTTTGGTATTGTCATGTTTTCTTCTCATGTAGTCCTGAATTGGTAAATCTCACCACACGGTTCACAGATGAGCTGATGGCTCAGGGTTTGACCAAACAAATCCTGAACTTGATCTCAGATGTCAGTGTGACCCGAGAGTTTGAGAGGCTTCAGAAAGAGAGGGGCCTTGGCAATGAGAAACACAGAAAAGAGGTAAAGCATCCTGTGCAAATTGATGATAATTACATATGCAAATTATGTAAATGACCAATTTGTAATAACTGTTATTCAAATGGTGCAGGTATCCGACCTCATCAAAGAGTGCCGACAGTCACTGGCAGAGTGTTTGTTTGCATGGACATGCCAGTCACCTCTAAGCAAAGAGGACACCTTGACCCTCATCGGTCACTTGGAGATGGTGACAGCAGAAGCTGATGGCTCATTGGATAGCGTTAACCTTGCTTTAGTCATGTCGTTGCTTTATTGCCTGGATGTTAGTTTTCTGGAGCAAGGAACAGAGGATAGAGAAGGTATTCATGCTTTGTTGCAACCATCTTTGGTAGCTATAAATGCTTTATTATTTTCCACACTCATATAAGTATGATTAATAGAAAATATAAGTTATTTCTTAGTAGAAATATTACGTTTTCACAAACACATTTTTTGTTCATTAGACTTGCTCCAGGCCTCGCCTCTACTGACGGAGAAGCAGTATGTGGCTGCAGTGCACAGTCGGCTGGTGGAGGGTCAGGGCTGGAAGCTTCCAGGACTGCAGGCAGTGGTTCAGCTGGCCTGGGCTCTGTCTCTGAGGGCCCTGTCACAACTTCCACAGGGTGCAGGTATCAACACGCCTTTCATAGCTCAGGCTATTGTTAATTTCAAAATCAATTTTACTTTAGCTCTCATGATCTCCTGATACATCACAGGTACTGTGTCTATGCATGATCTCTATATACTGTTTATACAATAGTTTGTTATAGTAGATGCAAATAGTAGCTAAACCCCGAAAATGCATGAAAACATTTAAAAATGTGTAAAACGTCGCTTTATGACTTTATAGGTTAATATACTCTCTCCCACTTTTGGTAATTTTCTTTTCAGCTCTAGTGGAGTTTACAGAGGCAGATGAGGCTCTGGCGGACCAGGCACTGTTGGGAGGTGTCTTCCTCTTTCTGACAGAGGGCATCCTAGGAAGTGATGACTTCAGCCAAGAAGAATTCTACACCCGCCGACTGCATTCTCTCATTACTGATTTCCTGGCTCTCATGCCAATGAAGGTGCGATGAGAAATGTTTTTTTCCAGATTCTTTGATAAATAGAAAGTTCAAAAGAACAGCATTTATTTGAAATGTAAATATTTTGTAACATTATAAATTACATTTCTCTCACTTTTGATTGATTCAATATATGCTTTCTGAGTAAAAGTAATAATTTCTCTTAAAAAATAATACTAATGCTAATGAGTGCGTATGAAGATAAGTTAAGTGAAGAGTGTTATTTGCAGGTGAAGCAGTTGCGTAACCGTGCTGATGAAGATGCTCGACTGATCCACATGGCTCTGCAGATGGGCAGCGAACCACCATCATCTCTACGCAAGGACCTGGACCACCTCATGATACTTGTGAGCTTCCGTTTACATTTATCACATACTACATACATAATGTTTTCTTCATCATTGCAGATCTCTTTAAAGCCAGGAAATGACTTGCATCTTCACATATTGCTCCTAAAATTTTATTCATTTTATTTTAATACGTAATAGCATTATGTCACACAACATTACTTTTGAACTATTGTAATTAATGCTGAAGAATGGTGTGTTTTTTTTTTTTTTCAGATTGGAGAGTTTTACAGTAAAGATCCATTTGAACTTGAGCTGGCCCTGGAGTTCTGGTGTCCATCAGAGTCTCTTCAGCACACTTCACTCACCGGATCTTTTCTTGGAGTACCACTCCAAAGACCCCCTCACAAACAGGTGTGAGAAGAAACCTCATTCTTGCTAATGATACTAAAACTTACTAAAAGTATTTTTATAGAAAAAAACCTACTGCTTTGAATAAAGTGTCAAATTTCTGTATATATTTGTGTATGTTACCTCAGGTGGTTCTCTCCAAGTTTGTGCGTCAGATGGGTGATCTGCTCCCTGCTACTCTCTATATCCCTTACTTGCGTATGCTGAAAGGACTTGCTAATGGTCCTCGGTGTTCCCACTATTGCTTTAGTCTGCTTAAAACCAATGGAGCTCCCCATGGTAACTGCACCCTCAGATCTTAAAAGAGAATGGTGTGATATGAGTGCTGTGGTAAAGCATTGTAAGTCACGTGCACTACCATATAAATTTGTTTATATGGCTGTTTCAGGAGAGAACCGGCAGGCTGGAATTTCAGGCAGTGTTGTGTCATGGGAGCACTTTTTCCATTCTCTCATGCTCTACCATGAGAACCTGCGACGAGATGTGTCCAGTGCCGACAGCATGCAGTACCGCCACCCACCCATCAGAGGCATCACTCAGAGAGAGCTGGAAGGCCTCACTGCATTCCTCCAGCTGCTTACCACTATCATCACCTGGGTAGAGCACACATACATCACAATATAATGACTGATTAATTGAACAAATTCAATTCTAAATTGAAATGTTGATGGTTTAATGTTTACATGAAACATCTTATTAAACTGTATTGTACATCAACATTACATTAGCTATCAGTCACCCTGCTTTCTAGATATCGACCAGTTAAAAAAAAAGATACACACACACACACACACACACACACATACATATATATAATATATATATTTGTTTTTTTTTGATGACTGAACATTTTGACTAAATTTTATTTGTAGCATACCTCTCTTCCTGATGGTGTCATCATCTGAAACTTAGATTATGAAAATTATGTATTTTGAATGAATATTAAACAGTTGGCCCATTTCACTTTCATTTCAAAGCAAAAAAAAACAAACAAAAAAAAAAACGTTGAAATTGAAATATTCCAAAATGAATCAAAATGGAATCAAATCGAATATGAATCAGAACTTGTGAATCAGAATCAAATTAGGAAACCAGTGCTGATGATCAGCCCTCATTACATCATCAAGCAGATGAAATTGCTCTTGGTATATCAGTGTTCAAACATGTCCTTACATTTTTCAGAGTGAGAATGCGCGTCTGGCTCTTTGTGAACACCCTCAATGGACGCCTGCGGTGGTGATGCTGGGATTACTGCAGTGCAGTGTTCAGCCCGTGCTGAAAGCTCAAATCTTGCATGCGCTTGCTGCCTTTGGCAAATCTCCCGAGATCGCTGCCTCCCTCTGGCAGTCACTGGAGTACACACAGGTTGACTAAAACTTCGTCATATAATGCAAAACTGACCTACAATAGAAGAATAAATGTTTAAATTTAATTATCTGTACTAAATTAGAATAGAACAATAGAAATAGTGCATTTTAGTGCGTTTTCAATTGAGTTGACTTGATTAATATGATATTGATCATTGTTGTATTTTTCCATCTCAGATCCTGCAGACAGTGAAAGCCCCTGGACAGAGACAGGCTGCTGGGATTGAGGTTAACTGTGTTTCTTATTGCATATACTGGTGTTAGGGCTGCATGATTTAGGAGAAAAAAAGTCTACTTGTGATTTTTCTGATAACAATTGTGATTGTGATATAATTTTTTTAAAGATTTAATAAAAAAAATATTAAAAGATAATACATTTTATTATGAATTATTATTGTTATTTTTAAAGCTCCAGATTTGCTGTGCTTATTCGTTCACAATTTGCCCCAAAATTTTGTGATTATTTATCAACGTGACTATATAATGATGGTAATGATGATTATTATTGTTGGTAAATAAAAATATTTACAAAATAAATAACATGAAAATTAAATATATAAGAAAAATAATCATTTTATTTTATAGTACAATTGAAATACTGTAATATACAATAGTAATATTTATGACTGTTTTAATTTCTTAATTTTCAAACATTAAACCATCAAGTTTTTATTTTGGTGGAAAACAACAGGGAGCCCTTCTCATTACAAGTTTGGAAAGATGGTTGATGCATTCCCAGATGTATGTTATAAGTGACCCAAACTCAAGAGAGAATGAAGAGATGAGTTTGTGAACATTTACTGTGAACAGAGCCACTTTGAGACACTGAAAAAAAAAACGGATCATGAGCTGCTCCTGCATAAAAGATTACAGTGCCATACTTCAAAATACTATACAAGCAACACATATATCTGTTTAATTAAATGACAGCTTTTGTGATTTGATAATTGCACTAAGTCATGTTGCGATTTTGATTTTATTTGATGAATTATACAGCCCTACAATGTGTGTTTTTATATGTATACATTATATATGTGCTTTTACTGTGGAACTAATTTAATTTGCCTCTTAACAGGTGGAGCTGAACGAGATTGAATCGAGCTGTGAGGAGTATCCTCTCACAAGGGCATTTTGTCATCTGATCAGTACTCTGGCGGAGAGCGCACTTCCAGTGAATCTTGGAGCAGGACTGCGTGCACCAGGCTTTCAGCCTTTTCTTGACTTCCTGCGTGACTCTGTGTTTCTGGCCTTCCCCACGCGTGCCTACCGTCGACCAGCTGAAAAGGTTTGCTGCAGCCTGCTAGACTTAAACATGTCTCTTATCTCAGCCTCGTCTCCATTTATGGTCGTGTATCTTTGTTGACTGTTTTTATTTCACTCTCTGTAGTGGGAGGTAGCTGAGGCAGTGCTAGAGGTGTTTCAGAAACTTCTGAGGGAATATGAGCCGCAGCCAGCGGACTTCTTGCAAGAAATGGTGGAACTTCAGGGAGAGCAAGTGCTGGCAAATAAGCCCCCGGGGCACAGCCTGATGTTTCACCTGCTGAATGACTCGCCCACCTTCTCTCTCTGCCTCAGCCTGCTTGAGGAGGGCGCTCGCCATCTTGACACCTATGCCCCCTTTCCTGGTAGAGGCCTGATCTATATATTTTTTAATATCCAACAACTCATTAAAATTCATTAAATCAGTATATAATGCTTAACAGATCAGTTATTAGGATATTAAAATTGAGGTAGATACCAATAAGCTGATTATTCTATACTATTTTATGTAATAGGATGAGGGCAAAACACTCAAAAAATAAAATCACAGTATGATGTATATGAAAAATGGATGGTCAATTTTAAAATTAAATATAGGATATATTTTAAGATTTAATGATATATATCCAATATTGACCATTACCATATAACCATTTTGAAACTGTTGTGTCCCTATTTAATATATGAAAACAAACTACCATTCACAAAAGTGACAGTAAAGACGTTTATAATGTTACACAAAAAAAATTCAGTTTCAAATAAATGCTGTTCTTTTGACCTTTATATTCATCAAAGAAGCCTAGAAAATGTATCACTAAAATTATTTTGTGAATTAATTAGCTGGTTTTAATATTGAGTTGACTTGATATCATTCTGATTTTTGATGGATCATCATCGAATACTTTAGTAATGGTTGTTGTTAAATATATTTTAAAATATATTAAAATGGAAAACTTAATTTTAAATTGTAAAACTGTTTCACACTATTTGTGTTTTTACTTTATATTTAAAAAAAAATACTTGCAGGCTTGGTAAGCATAAAAGACTTCTTTCTAAAATATTAAATTAGTGGTAGAGTATGAATGTATAGTTGTATGACATTTCTGTTTGGGTTTACATTAATGGGTCTATTTGGTTTTAAAGTTAATGTAATTAATGAAAGCTGTTAAAATACTAGCGATTTCTATATTTGGGCATTGCTGCTCAATGAATATTTTTGCAATTTTGACACTAAATGCTGAATGATACATTTCTAGATATGGATCAGTTTGTGTTTATTTGTTTATTATATTATGCTGGTGCTGCTATTGTAGGAAAGAAGCAGTTGGAGTCAGCAGTGCTGCACTGTCTGTGTTTGTTGGAGCTGGCTCTACAGAAGGAGGTGACGTTTATGGATCTGCTGAGAGAAAGTCAGACATCGCTACTCGTTGCTCCTGTGGAACAGCTCCTGCAGGGCGTCAGTGCTCAGAGCAGACGGGCTGATCACATCACCAACATTGCCAGGTCTGCTTTCTTCATTTACACATATATCTGCCATATATTGTTCCCATCAAAATCATTTCCCCCCAAATCATGTCAGAAATGCTTTAGGGCTAGTCTGATTCAGCAATACATAGGCTGATTTTACTTTTTTGCTCTTTACAGGTATTTGTATCACAGCAGTTCGAACCCTGATGCTGCTTTCCAGAGTGCCAAGATTCTGCGCCGTATCGCACGCTACCCAAACATCCAGGCCAGACTGGTTGGAGACTTCACACATGATCAGGTAAGAGACCTCACATTGTCTTTAGGTGATAAAATGGATTAGAGTTGCTTTAAGTATGACAGAATTGTTTTGTAATGAGTAGGCTGCGAGTGAGAAGTTGATGGCTGGTTTTGTGGAGTGTCTGGACAGTGAGGAAGCTCAGGAGGGAGTGGCCACAGACGGTGAGTCCTTAACCTGAAAATGACCATATATCATCTATGAATGGTTTAAAGCAGCATTTTTTTCTTGGTTCAGACTCAGACCCTGAGAAACGGGTAGGCAGGATTCGTCATGAAATCAAGATCCACATCCTGAACCTTCTGATCACCCCTCTGGAGCTAAAGGGCCCCAATCTGGGCCTGTATCTGCTGGGCTATGAAGTGAAGAAGCCAGTTTCCTCCACTAACCTGCAGGACCCAGGCAAGATCTCAACATGACTCAAACTCAAATGCAGGACTTTTATGTGTACCATGCTATGCCTGAAAATGTTTGGTCTTGTGACAACGTCATGTTTCCATCAATAAGGTGTTCTTGGCTGTCCACGGAGCTGCCTGCATGCGATCCTTAGTCTGCTCCAGAGGGGCAGTGAGTGGCGCTCTGGACCTGTGCTTACCAAACAAGCCCCTCAACTAGCTGAACTCTGCTACCAAGTACATACAGTTTAATTTACATTCAGACATTGTGATGCCCTTTATGTAATGTTAAAGTATGTAATTTGTGTCTGTGTGTGTGTTTGTGTGTTCGTACCAGGTGATCTATCAGCTGTGCGCGTGTCCTGACACTTCTGGGCCCACCATGCGATACCTCAGGACCAGTCAGGACTTCCTGTTCTCTCATCTGCAGCACCTGCCTTTCATTGTACTGGGTATGCTGCCTGTCTACTGTTGTTTTTTTTTACTGTATTTTTGACATAAGTAAATGCAGCCTTGGTGAACATTTGTCAAAAATTGCAAAAAACAACAACAAACCTTTGAACGGTAGTGTAATAATCAAACATGTTTTTTATTATTAGTAATTCGATATTGCTGGGAGTAAAACAGACACTCAAATTGTGGATTTAGTATGCCATCCAGACTCCTTTTACATTTTTAAAAATCTTTTATCTGATTTGCAACGCGCTAATCCTAATTTCACATACTATACTGTTGATCCCTCTGATTGATTCTGTCTTTATGTCCCACAGAGAATGAGATCGCTGCTCTGTCTCAGATGTCCTGGCTGATGAAAACTGCAGCCATTGAGCTCAGAGTGACCTCACTGAACCGCCAGCGCTCACACACACAGAGACTGCTCAACCTCCTCCTCGATGACCAGCCACACACACTACATGCAGGTAATGCACACACCCAGTTTTACTCATGATGACCAGCCAGCCACATTGAAGTAAACGCAATCATTGTATCTGTCTTGTAGCAGATGGAGAGACAGGCATGGAAGAGGAGAGTAGATCAGTCAGTGGTTTCCTGCATTTTGGCACGGTCTCCAAAGGTAAGAGAAAGTGTGCTTACATTGCAGTTTGTTCTGACCCTTTAGAAAGGAAGGAGCCATCTGATTTTGAGTAGAATTAGTTAATCATCCATTGCTCTTTTAGTACGCAGGAGGCTGCTGAGCGTTCTGGATGCCATAGACTTCAGTCAGGAGGCCCCGGAGCTTCTGCAGCTGGACTTCTTTGAGCGTGCTCAGATTGAGCAGGTCATCACCAACTGTGAACACGTCAATGAGCAGGGACACACGGTCTGCAACGTCAAGGTATGTGAATGGCTCACTGATCTCCTGCATGCATTAGACCTAATATTGTCATTTATTGTAAGAATAAACAATTAATATTTTCATTGATTCATCATGCTTTCATGCTTTCCCCCCATTTTCAAAAATTAAATTCAGGCCCTGAATAAATGTCTAAAAATCCTGATTGGAGTATCACTATAAATAGTTATAAATGATAAAAAGAAGGCTTTAAAAGATCGGTATCGGCAGATACTGCTTTCTGTGATCGGCCTCAAAAATCCTGATCGGAGCACCCCTAATATAAATATATTTGAATATATTAGATTATTATATGTAAGAAATTATATTTTGTAATTTATACTAATATACAAAAGATGTGCTTCCTGGTGTTTTTCATTGTCTCTGTTGGTATCAGGAGGTGAACTCAATCCTGCAGCAGGTGGTGGAGAGGAACCCACGTGCGGTGTAGTCTTAGTGCCAAGCGTCATGCTTTGCAGAGCTGGAGGAGTCTGGTGGAGACTATCCTTACGGCCTGTCCTTCAGAGCTCATCCCAGCCGACCAGCGCCAGCTGATCATCAGAGACCTGCTGCTGGATCTGCACGACAAGGTAGGAAAACTAATGGAGAGGAAGTGTGTCTGTTTTTGCATTTAGCAGACACTTTTATCCAAAGCGACTTACAAATGAGGATGTCTGACTTGCTTCTCTCTTTCCTGTAGGTGTTATCAGAGGATGCTGCTGGTGAATTGATGCCAATTGTAGCCGGGGCGGTCTTCACATTAACAGCACACCTCAGCCAATCAGTGCTGTCTGAGCAGCAGGGGGCGGGGCCAGAGGGTGGATCTGGATCAGGATTTGCTTCAATCGCTAACTCCGCCCTCCACCTCATCCTGAGGAAGCTACTGGATTTTACCTTGTGCACAGGTTAGAAGGGTTGCATTTTCAGGGTTGACTAATCAGCTAACATGGGTAAATTAATTCCACCATGTTAGAGGTTAAACTTCTTGTTTTACTCTGGTATTTGTTTACATCAAGGTGGAGGTTTCCAACGTCTACGGGCTCACCTTTATGGTGCTCTGCTCTACTACCTGCAAATTGCCCAGAAACCTGAGGAGCCAGAGACACTGCAGACAGGTATAGAAACAAGGATATGATAAAGCAAAGGTTTTACAATGTTTAACAATATTTTACTATTTGATTGCATATAATATTTAGGATTATAATATTTATATAATAAATATCTAAAAATAAAATATACATATAAAAAATATCATTTGAGTGCATATATTTAATATTATTTGTTATATTATATATATAAAATAATTGTATCATTTATCATATATAAATATAATTTTATATATGTAATTTATAACAATTATATTTATTAATTTATATTATTTAATTTTAATACATTTTTAGTAAATTGAGTATACCAAGTTTTTTTTTTTCAACATCAAAATGCTATGTGATTTTGGAGTCTTATGTAATTCTTGTAAGGAGTAATCGTTCACAACATCTGCCTTTGAAAAGCATGTAGGCTTTAAACGCTGTTCATAATGATATTATGTAATATATACTAATATATAAAAATAATATATGCAAATATTATAATGGTGAATTTACAGGTACCTCCATGTGGGAGCGTTTGACTGCTCCTGAAGATTGTTTCTCCAAGCTGCAGAGAGAGAACCTGGCCATCATCGAGAGCTACGGCACTGCGCTCATGGAGGTGGTGTGCAGAGACGCTTGTGACGGCCATGAGATTGGCAGGGTAAGAGCAAACGATTCAACAGCATCTTACTGAGTTATTAAGAAATTAGATATTACAATAACACCACCAAATGGCTAGTGAGTTGAGTTGAGGACATCATCTCTTTTTCAGATGCTGGCTCTGGCTGTGTTGGACAGGGTGCTGTCTATAGACAGACAGTGCCAGTGGCTGGTGTACCTATGTAACAGCGGGTACCTGCGTGTGCTGGTTGAGAGCTTGAGACAGGACGATGCTGACCTGCAAACTCTGCTCACACCTCAGCCTCCACTGCTCAAACCACTATACATCTATGAGTCCAAAATGGCGCTGCTGACCCGTGTGGCTAAGACCGCACAGGGTGCAATGGAGCTCCTGTGCTGTGGGCTGGTCGGTCAGCTGGTGGAGTGTCAGGTGTTTCACATGCTCCCTCAGAATGACGCACTCAGGTCTGTACTCTATAATCTAGAGACTAAATTATAGATGAACAGATGTCTTTCACCGAGGTCATCTTACTCTCTGTATCTCTCTTCCAGAGTGTTTGGGCAGAGAGATCCATCAGGGTTTATTCCTAGTCCTCTAGAGCGATACAGACAGATCCTGCTGCCTACCCTCAGACTGATGCAGGTCATCTTGACCTCCACCACCACGCATCACCAGCAGGGGGCGGCACAGGTACTTAAATATCCATAAAACGCTTCCTCTGAAACGGGCTGAATCCAAATTCACAAATTTCTGCTATATACAGGGTTCGTACGGTCATGAAAAACCTGGAAAAGTCATGGAATTTTAAAACACCAATTTCCAGGCCTGGAAAAGTTTTGGAAAAATAAATAAACCCAGAAAGTTTTGGAAAAGTCATTGAAATCTATTTCACAAAACTCTGTATAATAGAATTATGTTGAATCAGGTGCTGAATTTCGGTGCGGGATTGCGCATAGGCTATATCGCATCGTTTTACTCATTCCTGCAGCTTTTGACTTTAAAATGATGGATATTCACACATTTATTCAATAGCCTATAGCATGTAGGTTTGATGAGCAAATAATCAAACCTACAGACTGAGTCCAGTCCACACAGACTGATCAAATCAGTAATTTGAAAACCGCGTGAGTGATTCAGCTGTACGCGTCTTCTTCAAATGGCTTCACATCACCGCATCTTGTCTGCGCTACAAGAGCCGCTGCACGCTGCGATACAAGACTTTCACTCGCATTTCGGGACAGTTGACAGAATTGTCACTTGCCTAATCGGGTCATTGTTGCATCGTCAGAAAATTTTACATGGAAAAGTCATGGAAATTTATTGGTAAAAATGTGTACGAACCCTGTATATACTAAGCGAGTTAAGCTTGTTATGAGGAAAGTACGTACTTGTATGTAGTACTGTACTACATCTAACTGCATACTTAAGTATATCAGTATTGGGACATAGGTAAAGTAAGTTTATTTACACTATTGTTTAGAAGTTTTGGGTTTGGCGAGGTTTTTTAATGTTTTTCAAAGTCTCTTGTGCTCATCAAAGCTGCAATTATTTGATCAAAAATACATTCTTATTGTGAAATAATACAATTGGAATTATTAAAATAATTATTTTCTATTTGAATATATTTTAACATGGTATTTATTTCTGTGATTGCAAAAAAAAAATATTTTTGGCTTATCAACTTTTTAAAATATTTTTAAAATCTATAAAAAATGTTTAATTGAAAAATCCACTAAAACTAAAAGAATACTTACATTTTCTGAAATAATCTCATTATTATATATTATATTATATTATAAATAAAATCAATATATTTATTTTAGACAATAGACATAAACATACAGTTGATGTGAAGTAATCTGTGTGTGTTGGTTTGTAGGTGCTGCAGTGGCTCATTGTTCACTCTGATGTCATTCAGTCCATCCTGCATGGTCAGGATATGAGTATGGGCGCTTTACAGGAGCTCTCTCTCCTCACTGCCATCATCAGCAAGACCGCACTGCCAGGTACAGAAACAGCACAGCTGCCTCTACAGATGCTCTATAACACTGATGGATGACTAATGCTGTGTATCTCTATTTTTTTTTATGTTTCAGGAGCCCTTGAGATGGGACAGGAAATCAACAGTGCCGCCCTGATGGAGTTACAGGGACACATTGGCAGATTCCAGGTAAAATATAGAAAAAAGTCTTCAAAAGCTTATCTTTAAAAAGAATAAAAAAATAAAAAAAAAAGAGTAGTTCGGTCTAGGGATGTTCATTTGAACCATTTAACCGGTTAACCGACCGTAAGTTTTTTGACCGATTAATACAATCAGTTAAACGGTTTAAAAAGTCATTTAATTATTTATTTTTTCAGTAATTGATCAAAATATTTAAAAAGGTTTGCTGCATGTTTAAAATACGCTACGCGTATAAAAAAAATGTTTTTTTAGGGGGGGAAAAAACATAAGTCGCATTTTTATTTCATTCAGAAATGCCTAATGGCGACGCAAATAGTTTACAAACATTATAATAAACAATAGGGGTCGACTGATTATCGGCGCCGATATTAAGCATTTTTATGATTATCGGTATCGGTAATTTTCAAAACCGATTCGCCGATAAAATAACTTAATTTTGAAACGCGCTATTTGGCTCTGATGCAGCCTGTCAGAACTCACCACTCTGTGGCCTAAAGCAGTCTCTGCCCACCACCCATCTGATTTGTTGGGAGTCATGAGTCCGACCAATCAAAGCGGAATTCACTCTCACTCCGAAAGCGCTTGCTAACTGGAGCTGCTTCAGTGAACACGCATCCGTTGTCTCTCAAAGGGAAGTCAGCAGCAGACGTTGCTTAAGTTGCAATAAATCGCAATCCACTAACGTTACACTGAAGTTGCAAAACACCTCAATATTATCTATGATTTCCACGATGCGGAAAATGCGGACGGAATCGCGGAATCCTGTCATATAAATGGAATTTATATTTGTTTTTTTTATTATTTGTCAAAGTTTGGATGAATTAGTCAAAAGTAGGTCAGTACACTTAAATAGAGTCGCAATATGGACTAGTATCTGTAAATATTAAGCCGCAGCACACCAAAAATCCTCCCCGCCACGGCTGCATCTTCTCACTGACAAAACAACGCCGCTCGCATCATTCACAGTCAGGTTATTAGCAGAGAACACAGAGCAGGACTTGAATTTCGGCGCGGGATTGCGGCTATTAATAACAATTCTACTCATTCCAAAGACTATAGAATACCCTTAAAGGGACTTTGTCTTATTCCCACAGGTTCCGCGCTTATAACGCGATGATAGATGACGGAACGTATCATTTGCACGTCTTGAGAACTCACTCGCGCGCTCATTTTCTGTGCGCCCACAGATCGCGATAAGGAGAGTGACAACTTTTAATAGTTGTTAAGGGAGTTTGCAAATGTGATATTGATTTAATACAACAGTTCAATAAACAAGTACTGCCTGATTTTGCTCTAT